ATCTGATTGAAAATTTTCTTCCTTATATCCAACCAAAATCTCCCCTCTTTCAGTTTAAAGCCATTTCCCCTTGTCCTATCACTACATGCCCTTGTCCCTCCCCAGCTTTCCTGTAGGCCCCCTTTAAGTACTGGAAGGCTGCAATAAGATCACCCCGGAGCCTTCTCTTCTCCAGGCTGAACAGCCCCAGCTCTCTCAGCCTGAATTCATACTGCTTGCAATAAAAATAAGGAATCAATACGCAGCTTTAGCCAGCTGTGTACGGACCCCTAAAACAATCTTCAGCTCCACTGTTCAGCCAGTTTTCTTCTCCTTCGTTCCTCACTTAAACATGCATGAATATATTTAAAATGAAAAGTGAGCAGTTTCCACAAGCTAACCATAGGTTCATTTCCCTCTCTGGAACAAACCTTATGTTATTAGGAAGAGTCCAAACCATCCAGATTTTGTCCCTACAGAGAAGATGTTTTGATATTATAAAATTGGATAGTAACTTTAAGAATGTGTTTTAGTTAAACATGAGCCTCTGCAGCGCGTGTACGGGCAGTGCTCACCGGCGGTTGTTTTTGTCTGTGCTTAACTGCAAGTGAAGACTGGATACGACTGTCAAAATTGACTTTGGCTGTATAGAAGGTACTGCTTAAGACCATTTTTTTTTTTTTTTAAGACAGCAAATATAGACTTTAGGTGTTCATCTCCTTACACCACTCTTTCTCTTTAGATTCCTGTGTAAATCTCTGCCACTGAACTTGAGCAGCGAGATGTTGAAGTGTGGTCCCACTGAGCAGTGTGGGTTTCATGCATTGTGAGAAAACACATTAATATAAACACGTCTTTTGGTCAAAAAGCTTCCACCTTCCTTTCTTTAAATGATTTGACTATTCTAGAACTATCTTCTGCATTGCATCCCTATAAAACAACTTAGTGAGTCTTTGTTTTTAAACACCAAGTATAAAATACTTCAAAGATGACCAAAGCATATGACTGTCTACCTTCAAAAAGATAACCTTTATATCCCCTGAGGACTCCCAATTGATCTTGTTTGGAGAGAAGGAGGCTGAGGGGCCACCTTATTGCTCTCTGGAGCTTCCTGAGGAGGGGATGTGGAGAGGGAGCTGCTGATTTCTGCTGCCTGATACCCAGTGCCAGGACACGTGGGAATGGCTCAAAGCTGCGTCTGTCAGGGGAAGTTCGGCCTTGACATGAGGAAACATTGCTTTACTGAGGGGGTGGTCAAACCTTGGAACAGGCCACCTGGAGAGGTGGGCGATGCCCCATGCCTGTCACCTGTCAGTGTTTAAGAGGCATTTGGACAATGCCCTTAATAACCACGCTTTAACTTTTGTTCAGCCAGTTGGACTGGATGAGCGTTGTAGGTCCCTTCCAGCTGAACTGGTCTATTCTAGTCTGCATTGCCTTCATTTTGGAGATTTGTCACCGAAATGAAGCTGTGGACTGAGTTCTGTTGTACTGGAAATAAAATAGCTAATAATTTTATGATTCTCTAACACTAATTTAGGTGTTAATTTTATCTTCTTTATGCATCAGTCCTCCCGGGGATGCAAGATAAAATGAATTTCTAAAATGATTTCTTTTTTCCAGCGTTGTATGTGTTCAGAAGACCATGATGTAGCTCCTGTCCCTGTGACATTGCACTCTGCAAAGCCTTATGACTATTTTAGGTGTTTCTTCTAGGTATTCAAAGCTTAGCAAGTTACCCTGACTAATTTCAGTGGGCTAAAATTTAATTGTCTAGTTTGATGTTATTCTCTTGGATTATCAAATCTAAATACAGAGGCAGAGAGAGCTGCTTCCAGCTGCTATTTCATTCCACCCATTTTAGGGACTTTTATTAAGATGGAATAATTTCGACCTCTGAAATTGCTGGTATCCTTCCATTTAACATAAAATGTGCTTAGCTAAAATGAAACATCTGAATCGTATCACAATACTGAGGAAACGTATTGCCTGAATAACTGCAACCGTGTGCGTGCATCAGGAAGTCTCATGCACACATAGGATGGACGACAGTGGAGAACTGAACAAATTAAATTTTATGTATTTACATGTGTATAAATGTTTGAGTGTGAATCTCTCTCTCTCTCTCTCCATAAACTGCATGGAAAAAAGGATGAAAACTTCCAGAACTGGCTGTAGATTTTGATGGATTTTCAGACTGCTCTGCAATGCCGTTCAAGTCAACAAGATGGTTTACACTGGGTTTTCTGGGCAAATGATCTGGTCCTTTCTGAAGAATTTTAAAGTCATGAACTTCCGCTCCACTGCCTCTTCTATTTTAATTGCACTTTCACAAATTTTGCTGTTTACTTTGTAAACAGTTTTCTAAGGCAGGTTTTAAGAGGTACATAGGTCTTACTTTTTAAAGTAACATATAAGTATGTACATCTATTTTGCAGATATTTCATAAGCCAAAATCTGTCTTTTTTCTTGTAATAAGACATTGTGCAAATAAAATTACGGAGTTAGGAGTTATTCAGTGAGCTATTAGTGACTTTGGTTTCGAGATACATGTTTTTATAGATAACTGACTTAAGTTTGGTGGGTTTTTTTTAATGAAACCCTTCTACAGTTTCATTTTAAGTGTCTAGAAATAAGCTTTATAAATAAAGTCAGTGTGTTCTTACCTGAGATTTTAATTCTTATTACTTGGATGATCCCACAGAATTGAGTAATTTTGTCTGATACTCAAAGTTTGTCAGTTCCCCTTCAAGCCAGTGGGAGCTGGGAACATTCAGCACGCTCAGCTCATAAACAGCATTCTTGTCCTGCTTGCCAGCGACGTCAGGTATTATCATTGACAAAAACATAGTATAGTCCTAACCTACTGTGAGCCTCCTCAGATACCTTAAACAGCTCCCAACCTTCACTCCAAAGCTTTCCCATTACAAAACTTTTTAAAAACAGAAGTCTTCGAAAACACTTACTGGAGATGATGAGTTTTTTTCCCAGAACCAACTATCTTCTCCAACTCCCACTGGCACACTCCCTTACAGAAACTGCTTGGGACGTTTTGACCCAACAAAGACCAGATTTAACAACCATTATATGAACAATAAGAGTCTATTCATTTGGCTACATGAGTGTAGAAAATGTGAATTCAATCTCAGCTAATGCTGCTATTTCCAAAGAGCCTCTAGTGAGTAATACACACTTTAAATTCAGTTTCAAGCTAATCTTCGCCATCACTTGTTTACAAAAATACCAAAACAAACCAAAACTGTTGTTGTCCAGGACATTGATTGAGCTACCGTATTTCCTCTAGATTTTTTTTTTTTAATTCTTTTTTTTCTGGGATGGTGAGTGGTTTTGACCACACGATTTAAAAATACACGCGCGCTAGACCATTGTTTAACTGAATTAGTGAAAGGCAGTCCTGAACAGCCACGACTCCTCTCAAGCCTCATGGAGGGGCATTTACTCATTTTGGGCCTAATGCTCTTCATGTTGACGTTACTGCAATATGCTCGCATGGATGCGGGATCAGGATTGTTCATCCTCAAATCCTGCAGTGCTTGCCTACACAGTACTATAGGAGGTAGTCAGTACCAAAAGGCAACATCCCACATCCATCTATGCATGCTGTAGAGAAGCATCAACTTCCATCATTCCTGTGCATGTCCTTCCCCAACGCCTTCGGGCTTCTCCCCGGGGAAAACCACCTGCACCTCACAAAGTCCTGCCGTCACTGAAACCAGTGGCAGTATTTCCAAAGGTCCAGGCTTTCCCCCTACATTTTAATCTTCTGATTGTTTGTTGTCTGCCTGCAGCTAACTGGTGCTGTGGTACCGCCAAGAGAACTCAGTTCTCGGCTGGAATAAATCAGATTTGGGTGCTAAAGAAATGAATCTGCTACTGCAAATTCCACATCACTTTTCTATATTACACTTTCAAATCTTTATTTTGATCTGTATTATACTTTTAGAATAGCATAGCATATTCCCTCTCCTCAATTTTGGATTATCAGAATAAGGCATATTTTCTTAGAGATTAAAAACTTACCATAAACAATAAGCTTTGTGCCAGCTCCGAAGACTTTGTATCTGTCCACTGTATACAAGTGCTTTGCAAAATCCCTCCTAGTCCCAATGTTTTTAAAACCTCATTTGGTGTCCCAGCCTACCCTCATTTTCTTAATAGACATGCACCGATTTCTTTTGACGTTCTGATTTCTATAATTACAACGTTCCTTACAAAACGGTGTATGGATGAAGCTGTGTTTGCTCAAACAACAGATTGCACTTAGGTTGGTCTTTCAGGTTTAAGTAAATAAGCATGCACATACACAAAAACTAAGGATTTGGAATACTGACAAAATACCGGATGAAGTCCTGATTTAACAGGGGTCATTCAAAAGCACGGAAATATTTTAGCAGATCCTGCACACCTGACATCTGTAATTTCCTAGACTGACTCCTTCAGCATTTTCTGAGGTTTCTGTGGAAAACATGAGGAACTGTAAAGACTATCACCTTGACAACATGGGAAATAATGCATTTATATATATGTGACTGTATGTCTGTGTATGAACATATATTCTACAACAAGAACCTATCTCTGCATCCTATCACCAATTCAAGCTGATCTTTTTGGGCCATGGCTTTAGGATCACAGAATCACAGAATCATAGAGTATCTCGAGCTGGAAGGGACCCATAAGGGTCACCAAGTCCAACTCCCTGCTCTTCGCAGGACTACCTAAAACCAAACCATATGACTAAGAGCATTGCCCAAGACACTCCTTGGACTCTGACAGGCTTGGTGCCATGACCACTTCCAATAATAGAGACCATTATGGAACGGCAGAATGTTCACTCTGAAACCTGTATGTGAACATTGCCTTAAAAGAATCAGATACTAAATTCATCTTTGTGCTCAGGAAATCCTTGATATTTTTGTTAAAAACCATTAGCAGATATACCTAATAATATTAATAATGGTAAGAGGCTTTCACTATGGATTTCTTTTGAGTGGCCATATCTTACAATTCCATCCTTCTGCCTAACACTTGTTTAGATCTTCAGGTCTACTGGGTTTTGGTTCAGGGCTTCATGTTCTTCCCCCTTAAAAAAATTATAATGCAAACTAATGCATACAGTAATCTTCACCATTTTGGTTTAAAAGGGCAGAAAATCAGTTTAATCCAACCTCAGGCAATGTATAAATAAAACATAAGTATAATCTATCTTCATGCAACATTTCATAATATATAATTAAAAAAAAAAAAGCTTTTTGAAATACTGAGCTTCAATGCATTTGATGAAAATAAGGTAGATACTTTGGTAACGTTCAGGAGATTAATTAAAGAAATCAAATATTGCTGCCATAATTTCTGCTATTAAATTACTTCCTGGAAGTGTTAGTAGATTGTTCTTTCATAGATTCATAGATTTCTAGGTTGGAAAAGACCTTAGAGATCATTGAGTCCAACCATCCCTAATCCCCATTAAACCATATCACTGAGTAGCTCATCCACCCTATTCTTGAACACATCCAGGGATGGGGACTCAACCACCTCCCTGGCAGCCTATTCCAGTGGCTGACAACCCTTTCAGAGAAGAAATACTTCCTAACATCCAACCTGAATCTCCCCTGACTAAGCTTATGCCCATTTCCTCTTGTTCTATCACCCAACACTAATGTAAAGAGCCTTTCCCCTATCTCCCCACCATCTTTTCTCAAGTATTTGTAGGCTGTAATCTTTTATATCATTTCAAAATAAGATAGCAATATGCTTGGGAGCTGCCAGAGAGACCCGGCTGCAGCTGTAGCAGAGGAGATGGCGGAGGGAAACCAGCCCCACGCTGGCTGAGCAAGCCACTCTGCTCTGTGCTGAAGGAAAAAAACTGGATTTGGAGAGGCTGGTTCAGTCTCATCTTCCCTGTTGCCTTGTGAGTGCCTAAATTCCCTGGAAAGATGCTTAAAACTTACAGAAGGATCCTGTATTGCCAGCTTATGTTGGATTAAATATTCCCATTCTGCCGTAAGCTTCTAAAAACTCATCTATTCCACCAAATGCAAATGCCAAACCAGTCTCTCAAATCCCAGCCCTTCTGTTACCCGCATCATTGTTAAGTCTTGAGCAACTGTCTTTTGGTCAGAACTAATTAAAAGTGACCAACAAGGACAAAAACAAGTTCCTTACAAGTTGATAGGAGTTTGGCTTTTTATATATGTGACTCTTTCAGTGCAGATCCGGCAAAAGATTCTGCTCAAGCTCAAACCCTGATGATTCAATCAAATTCATGTCATTTATCCCAAGTCCTGGTTTTCTCCGTTTCTTTTCATTAGGAGTAACTTACTTGGCTAATGTTAGATAGTCGCCTCTGAAAAGACAAGCTGTGATGAAATGCCTGATCTTAAGCAAGAAGTAAATACAGCCCTTTTAATCTATTAATTGGTCAGAAGCCTTGGCCCACATAAAGACAAAACCCTACAGAAGTAGAATGATGATTGAAAAACATTTGTTTTAAACTGTAGATACTAAAAGCGTGGCAACTACCTGATTAACAAGGTAAGCATTTTCATAAAAAACCCACACTCATCCTGACACACATATTCCTGTTGACTTCTTGTTATCATTTGCTTAGTCTTTCTGACATAAATCATTAAAAATTATCTTTGCTTGGTAGGCTAATATAACTTTGTGTATTTAACCAGGCTTAAAACATTTGGTAGCAATAGTTCCTCTGCCTTGTGTTTGTGTAGTTGTTTACTCCAGGATTATGGCATTTTTAACACATTTAATGGGAAAAAGAAGAATATTACATCCTCCACTTTCCATTAAACAAATGATTCTGCAGGAAAGGCAAAAAATAATTAGGGACGAGTTATTTGTCCACTTTCACCAGCCTAATTAAAAAAAGACTTTAGAAATGGTGGTTGCATAGTGCTCTTTGTATCTGTATTGGGAAGAGGTTTCCTTGCTTTATGCTTAATTCACAGCTGCTTTTTCCTTCAGTACAGATGGAGCAAAGCACAAGGATGCTGAAAACTACTACAGGCCACTTTCCGCCACATTCCCAAGGAGGAGTATGATCAAAAGTGGCTCAAAATAGCTCCTTTTCAGAAACGTTTGTGATCCTAAACCACTGCATTACAAATACAACGAGGCTCCCTGTAGGAATGACAAACTGGGGAGGGGAATCCTGCGCAAGGATGGTGCCGACTGAGGCTCTAAACGGGCTGAATGCCCTCAGGGACACTATAACACTCATGTATATGACAATCCCAAGCTCCTATAGCTTATTGTATGGAAAACAGCATGCAACTTACCTGACACAATGAGTTTTGTACCAGAGCCAAACACTTTGTGGTAATAACCAGTCACAGTGAATAAAGTCTTTGCAATAACAGTGCAGCTCTCTTATCTTTGTATGGGTACATAGTATTCTTTAAAGAAAATTGGATTTACTGTATAATTTATTTTTTAGGCTCTAGAAAAGTAAAAAAGGAGCAGTTGCCTAAACTAAAAAACAGGAAAAAAGGTGTGGAGGTTTTTGAGGGCACTTATGTTATTAAATGGGCAGGATTCACCTCAACTAATTTTAGTTTTGTGGAAGTTTGGATGGACAGTTCAGACTGAGCGCTGTTTCTGCTTTCTGGAGAGAGACAGCACCACGAGATTATCTATTTGATCAGACATTAGCCAAGTAATTTGCTTCTTATACACTCCATAAAATCAGATCTATAATTGGTGAATATTATGCTGAGATCTGAGCAGTACAAAACCCTCGACTGGTATTTTTGTTGTCAGTAACATGAAGCAAAACCCTGCATGGAGTGAAACTCAATCTCCCACTAACAGATACACCATTTTCAGATGGACAAAATTAGGCAAACTGTTTCCATCTCGGGTGCTTACTTGAGCCAAATCACAGGCAAGTGTCAAAGCCTTTGAAGTTTGCTTGAAGCACAATGATTTTGCTAACTATGTCAAAACATTTTGAATTTGGCATTCTTTCTTAATAATAGTAATAACTGATAAGGAGCAGTTTCTGCAAAAGCTAGGAAGAGAGAGTAGCCTTTCAACTATGCGTATTTCAGACAGTTCTGGGCCTGTCTCAAGTAACTCCTTTCATTTGATATAGTCAGACATAGTGCTAAAGCAAAACGTTTTGCTTTTCAAAGAATTTGAGTAACCCAAAGGTTTGACACTTTTCTTTGAGAATGAATTAGAAATATCACAAAGATTGAATATGCATCTTTAAAGACGAAAACATCTTTCCTTTCTCTGAATGCTGTCTTTGCCTATTTAAATTCATCTTTAAAAAGAAAATAATAATATTTGGGTTAGTTATACACCTGTGCTGCAAGAGCTGTTGTGTTTCTCCCATTTCAAACATAAATACAAAACGATTACCTTGTGTTCTGCATATAGAAATGCTGTTTAGGAGGAAAATCCTGCAAAGCATTCAGTAGGGTTAAACTAGCAGGAGCTAAAATAGCAGAGTACTTCACCTAGCCAGTATCTGTATTGAAAAGCATTTCAGAAGTGAAGTTGTACATTTTTTACTTACTTGAAACAATAAGCTTAGTTCCAGTTCCAAATATTTTGACATCGGCATCCCACAGTCTGATAAAGCTTAGCAATATCTCCTGCACCGCATTTTTCTTGCATAGGCTACAGAAGAAGTCTCTCTAATTTAGAGGTTGGTCATAAGTCTGGCCCAGTGCAATAGCTGAATTTTCAACACTCACGAGAGTGCCATTTGATTTTTGTAGTGATTAAAAAGTTCAGCTTTTTAAACAAAGCATTTTCTGAGAAGAAAGCAGTGCTGTGCTTTTTTTGTAACTATGTTCTAATCTTTTTAGCTCTGGGATCTATTGCCTCTGGTCTGCTAGGTTTTCTCCGAGATAACCTCTTTTTTTCTGTTTTAAGAAGAAATGCAGTTACGTTAAGGTTCCCAAAGCAAATTAAGAAAGTTTACTAGTTATTTGTTGATTTAAATACACAGGTAAACTTTTTTTTTTCCTAAAAGTGTCCTATCTTCTGAATTACTTATTGTGTCAAAGTACTTCAACTGCAGTTTCATCAAACTCATGTTTTGAAGCCCATATTTTAAATGCAAAGTCCATATTTTAAATGCATAGTCCATATTCTAACCAAAACTTACTAATACCCATAAGTTCATGCCTTTGCTAAGTGGTTACACTGTCGTCTTTTTGTCAAAAGCCACTGCCAATAGAAGGGCACAGTTTAATTGCAAATTGCAGCAGAGTTTTGGTCAGAGGCATGGTCAACATTTTACATTTCTCTGGAACCCTCCTCTGCTTTTTACGATACAACTTAATTATAGTCACCTTGGTAACATCGTGTATTTTCTGAGCAACATACTGTAGGCATTGCTATATGCTTTATATTGAAGACAGCATTCATCCTATTGACTGCATAGCTTCACCACAATTAAGAATAATACAAATGCAAAAGTAAATTAGTTACTTTGAGTAGGGCCAGGAATGAGAAATTTATTATATACCAGGCAATTTTCCTTCCCAGTCAACTTAGACTGAGCCACCTCTATCAGTAGGAAACTTTTTGCATTTCTCCCTTGCTTTTCTGAGAGTAAACTTTCAAGCAATTCACTTTTCTTTCCCTGACAGGAAAGAATCCATCCCAATATCTGAATTTTGACACCTCCTCATTTTTCCATTTCCCTGTCCTTCATAAGTATTCAATAATTGTTCTAGAGGCAATCTCTCTGTTCATGAGGTTAGTATAGTTATTGCCCACGAACCCACCCAACCGGGGCACCACGTACACTTCACAGATAAAACATGATTTATCAGGCAGAAATTAATTTTCATGCAGTCTTTCGTTCTTAATTATCTGAGAAGCTGAGGGACTCTGTGAAAATCAGATCAATAACGATGGTACTTACTAGAGACAATTAGTTTTGTTCCTGTGCCGAAATATTTGATCCACGTGTTGCACACTGTGTTTTGACTTTGCAAAAAGGTAACGCGCTCTCTTCCTATGCCACCGCTGAAGAAAATCCCACTTTTTTCCCAGTCAGCCCTGGGAGACTGAGGGAAGGCCTGGCCCTTGGCTACTGCGAGGATGTCAGGAATTTCAGATGTGTACCTGGTTGTTCACCCTTCGGAGCAAATCTCTTCCCTAAATTGTTGCAAATTTGTTAGATAACCCCTCCGCTTCACGCCTAAGAATGAGGTGAAGGTTTGTCTTCACATTTAGACGCACAAATAGGTGCACAGGGTTGTGCATGTTAAAAACCACCTACCTTCGGGTGATGATCCTGCTCTTTCCCAAAGGAGTGCTGCAGGTCGCGTTTTCTGCCCCCGGTAAGTGGTTATTGTTTCCTGGAATCACTCCAGGCTCTGCAACAGCAGCTCACCAGCACCTTTTCATATCCTAGCTGGTGGGGAGAAGGAGGCTCTTCCTTTGTGCACGGGTTTCTTACAGAACAGCCCAAGATAACATCGTTGGAGGCACCGCAGCTGTTGCTCAAACAGCCCCCACGCTTATTTGGCCCTTTAGAAGAAACAGTTTGATTGCTTCTGGGATCTTGTGTGGCACACCGACTGCAAAACAACGTTAAGGGATTACCATTTGTGGTAGAGGGAGGAACTAGGCTGAGGGCGAAGGTCTTTCAGTTGAAGTAGGTGTAACAACAGCAATTGTCTACTCTGAAGGCTCCTGGGCAGGAATGTGGTAACGGCAACCACAACGCAATGGCAGGAGTGATTGAGACAGAGTACGGTGCCAACCACCAGTAAACAAACATATAAAAGAGAGGCTTGATGGTAGAGAAAACCTCCGTGGATGAATTTCTAAGGCATAAGGGTCAGCGTGCACTTCCAGGCAGTAGCTAGGAGGGATGCATTGCCCAAGAGACACAATATGAAAAGTTGTTCTTAACTATTGAAAGCTCTTTTCTTTGGTGCTAGCTTTGGAAACTGTCTCCAACTTTTTGAGTTATTCAGATGTCTCACTACTACGATGAACACCAGTGACACACAGACAGTGAAAAGCAAGATGAAGAAAGCGACTGATATAGCTCAAAAAAAAAACGACAAAAATGCCCACCTCTAGATCTCAGGAGGAATAAATACAAAAATCTTCCTCTTCCAACAGCTGCTAACTTTTAAGTGAAAAGACGACTCCTTTCCTTTGCCTAAAATTTTACGAACCCTCAGCCTGAAACTCTCTATTTCAGTTTTCTTTGCCAGGCCAAAGGCTTTGAACAGCTCCAGCACAATGTGATGATCTGTTTGCAGGAACAACATTATGGGAAAAGTGCCTCTCTCTATTGAATACATCCTTGCACCAGTTTGCTGACATGCTTGAGTGAGAAGGAGGAGAAGCTGGAATGGAGAGGATGGGTTAGGTATTGGACCTTCACTCTTCCTCAGTGAAAGCCTCTAGCTTCTGGCAGATGATGCTTCCAAGGAGTTAGCTGCTCCACACGGAGAACGTCCTGCTTCTCCAGAGCCTGAGCCTGAGGCCAGACAGCTCATCCACACCAGGGAAAGTGAGTTGGGAGCTTTCAAGTTGTTAGTGGTGGAGATGCTGAGGGGAGTATTCGTCTAGGTGA